TCCCCTCCCCGTAGTGTGGGGGAGGGCATGTGCATGGGGCCTCCTCCCTCCCTGCTGCTCCCCGTGCCAGGGAGGCTTGGGATGGCTCTGGCCATGGGGTCTCCTCCTTCCCCACTTTTCGCAGGGTGGAGGGAAGGGTTGGGACCGGGAGTCCTCTTACCTCCCCACTACTCTGGGGATGCTGGAGTGTGCATGCACATTCTCAGTGGAGGAGTGTGGGGGAGGGCATGTGCATGGGGCCTCCTCCCTCCCTGCTGCTCCCCGTGCCAGGGAGGCTTGGGATGGCTCTGGCCATGGGGTCTCCTCCTTCCCCACTTTTCGCAGGGTGGAGGGAAGGGTTGGGACCGGGAGTCCTCTTACCTCCCCACTACTCTGGGGATGCTGGAGTGTGCATGCACATTCTCAGTGGAGGGGGCAGGACTGTAGGTCTGGCTGGGGGCCTGCCTCCCCCTAGAAACTTATCAGGTCTTCTCAAATGTTCTCTGACATTTGGCGTGATGGACGCCTCTCCTTTTATAGTAGTATAGATAACCAGTTTTTATCATGACTTCATCAGCCAACAGGAAACCCTGATTTAAATTATCAATTTTAATTTTGAACCATTATATTAAAACATTGAGGGGAAAATGAATTAGGAATTATTTCTGTAAATGTTAATGTTGAAATTAGAAGTTCTGAAGCACAATTCAGAAAGCTTAAGTGCAAGCTTTTTGTGTCTTGCCAGTAAGTTATATCAGTAGAGATATAGCACCATGGAATGGAAATCAGATATTCCTTTAGATCTAAAACACAGAACTGTTATAATGGTATAGTTATAATTTTGTGAGACTTTATTCCAGTGAAGTTTTTGGTGTTAATGGATTTGGGTTTGAGTGTTGGGCTTGACTTTACTAAATAGTGTATTGTGATTTTCATATTGATACTCCTAAGTAGGGATGTTAAATATCAGTTTATTGAATAGTCGATTAACATCATGGATTCTTATCGGTTAGTCGACTGTTCTCTTGACACTCCCCTCCTCCCCCAGTGGGGCTGGCAGCCAGTGTGCTCCAGCCCCACTCCCAGGGAGCCCCTTGCTACCCCGTGCTGCTTTCTCTCTGTCAGAGGCGGAGCACAGGGGGCCAGATGGGAGTTGGCCCACAAGGGGAGCCAGTTTAAAAACCAGCTCCTCTTGCAGACTGGCTGCCATCTACCCCACGCTGCAGCCTTTGATACAGAGGCAGTTGACCCTGTCCGGGGGTGGTGTGTGGTCCAAGCTCCCAGATCAGGCACGAGCTGGAACTGAGCCGGGATGCCTACCTACCTGGCTCCCAATATACTTTAAATTCAGAGCTGCAGCAGGGGTAGGTCCTGGACGCAGCGCAAGTTGGAACTGAGCTGGGCTGCTGGCCAGCCTGCTAAAAAATTTACTGGCTGGGGGAAGCTGGTATGGTGGAAATGTGTGTTGTCTATAGCATTAACCTGTAAGCTTTTGCTTATCGGTTAATCGGTTACTCAACTTTACTATTATATCCCTACTCCTAAGATTTATTTTCTAATAGTTTTTGCTATGACAAACGCATTGCAGCAAGCAATATTATAAGTCACTGAAAGAAGGCAAATTTAATTTATATTGATTTTGCCGACGTCAGTTGCCCCCTGCCAACAGAATCTAGTTATAAATATTTCAGATTAAATTCATTCCTGTGATCTGAGTAATGGCTCAGTAGAGCTTGTTAAATTTTGTATTTCCTACAGGAACATCATGTAGCAGGATGAGCTTCTTTTGATTACATGCCCAGGGAAAATGGCTACTGTCTTTGTGTAGAGCATCTGAAAAAATATGTTTGACTGTAGTGCATGTTTTCTCACTATGTTTAGCAGCATTAACAGATGGTTTTAGGCATATTGGGCACTGATGTCTCCAAAGATGGAATGATGTACATACATGATTACAAACAGAATTAATGAGTTCATTGAAACAGAGTTGCTGTAGAAACAACGAGTCTAGTTTTTTCGTGGGTTTGTTTTGTTACGATTAATACACATACAGGTTATTTTCTCATTCAGTAAGTGCTTCATTTTGTCACCCTTGCTCATTATCTGGGCTGTGGATTTGTCTTGAAAGTCACAGAAGTTTTGTGGGTTTTTTTAAATATGGAGAGATAAAAGATGGGATAGGTACAGCAGAGGGGTTCTGGAAAGCAACCCTGTCCTGCACTCACCCGGATATGTTGTGCCTACAATTTCTGCCCAATGAGGGCAGACATTCCAATCTGGTACATGTGGTTGCAGTGCTGTCCAGGTTTGGCCTACCTGCCCCAATGAGGGATGGATGCCCAGGCCAAACCTGAGCAGTGCTGCAGTCCCATTTTCATGTTGCCGTACCCAGAGCTGGTAGCTGGACCCAGCCACCTACAATAGGTGCCGCTGTGGGGGAGAGGAGGGAGAGCGTTAATTAAAATCATGGACATAGATAAGTAAATGTTAGTCATAGATATTACCTGAGATTTAGTGAAACATTAATTAAAGAGTGCAGTATTTGAAACTGATGTGTGTTGTTTCTAAATGAATGAGCTAGTCTCTCTACAGTTACAGGCAGTCCCCGAGTTACGCGGATCTGATTTATGTCGGATCCACAGTTACGAACGGGGCTTTTCTCGCCCCGGAGGACGGGAGCGGCGGGACACCCAGATGTGCCGCGGTCCCGCTGCCCGCGTCCTCCGGGGTGAGAAAAGCTGCTCTGCGTCTCCCGGGTCTGCTGGGAGCCCCCC